CCCCAACATAGTCCACGAGGGGGCTGACACCCTCCACCGCAGGGATGCAGAACCCGGGGCTCAGAGAGGGTCAGTCACTTGCCCAAGCCCTCACAGCAGTGGCTGGACTCCATCACTTTGAAAACACCTGCTCAGAGCTGAGCTGAGGTGCCAGGGCCCAGCCTCCAAAGGACCTACAGGCCCCCCCTAGAGGCAGGGAAGTGAGATGCAGAGAGGGGGGCGTCTCCCTGTTGCATAACTCCAGGGGGCTGGCCACACAAAGTCCAGGCCCCTTGGCGAGGCCAAGTGCGCCTCTTGCCGGGGACAGGGTGTGGACATGTGGCCTCAGTAGGCTCGTGGAACCCTTCAGGGGGCCGAAGCCTTCCCCAGGGAGGCGGAGGTGCAGGACGGGCGAGGGTAGGGCTCTGGATTCCGAGAGGAAGGGTTAGCCCTGGCAGCCCTGGCCAGGAGGGGAGGGGCCGGGGAAGGGGACCAGCCTGCCCCAGGCACTCTGTTGATGCAGCTGCCCCCAGGCTTCTGGAAGCTTCCCCGGGTGCATTTAACAGCCAAGGTTGGGGCTCTGTTCCCACAGTGGATGCCTGGAATATTCATGTTTCCCGTATCCCTGTGTGGGAGCCAAAACCAGCTTCCAAGAGCCAGGAGAGACGAGCCTGAGGGAGAGGCAGATTCCCTCCCTGGAATGGAGTCACGGCCCTGGTGTAAGCCAAGGACAGGACTTGATGGCTTTCCTCTCTTGTCCCTTTAAGTGCTGAGCCTGGCTCCCTCCCCTCCCCATTGTTCTCTCTCTCTCCTGCTCTTCCTTCTGACAATTCACCTGCAGACAAGCCATGATGCTGAGGAAAGAGGCCAACCTGGTGCAGATCCTGGCTCCGCAGCTCGCGAGCTGTGTGATTCAGGACAGGTCACTGCCCTCTCTGAGCCTCTCTTCTCTTTTCTGTAAAATGCGACAGTGATACCCACCCGACAGGCTGTGGGGTCAGTGAGTCCCAGGTGCCTATGTTCCAGCCCATTTGCCCTGAAAAACCACCGAGTCTAGGTCCTGGGAAATAATTACAAAAAGAGCAGAAATGCTTTTGTCTTTGAGAGGCCATGGAGAGTGGATAAGGTTACTGGATGTCTCGGAGTCTTGGTTTTCTGTCCCATAAAATTAAAGTAACAGTGGGACCTACCTCAAAGAGCTAGGGGAACTCATTGAATTCATGAGGATTCAATGATATGATGGATGCCTTAGCACATAGTAAGTGCTCATTAAATGATATGTTGTTGTTGTTATTATTATGGACTAGAGGCCCGGTGCACAAAATTCGTGCATGGTGGGGGGGGGAGGGGAGTCCTTCAGCCCAGCCTGCACCCTCTCGCAATCTGGGACCGCTGGCTCCTAACCACTTGCCTGCCTGTCGGCCTGGATGTCCCTAACTGCTCGCCTGCCTGCCTGATCACCCCTAACCGCCTCTGCCTCAGCCCACACCACCACAGCTTCATCAGGAAGGACGTCCAGAATGACGTCCGGAAGGTCGTTTGGCTGTCCAGTTTAATTAGCATATTATGCTTTAATTATTATAGATGATACACTAGAGCCGTGGTCGGCAAACTGCGGCTCACGAGCCACATGCGGCTCTTTGGCCCCTTGAGTGTGGCTCTTCCTAAGCCTTAGGAGTACCCTAATTAAGTTAATAACAATGTACCTACCTATATAGTTTAAGTTTAAAAAATTTGGCTCTCAAAAGAAATTTCAATCGTTGTACTGTTGATATTTGGCTCTGTTGACTAATGAGTTTGCCAACCACTGCACTAGAGGCCTGGTGCATGGATTTGTGCACCAGTGGGGTCCCTCAGCCTGCCCTGTGGGGATTGGGCCAAAACCAGATCTCTGACATCCCCTGAGGGGTCACGTATTGCTAGAGGGCGGTTCTCGGGTAATGCACCCCGGAATTGGGCTCCCTCCTCTCTGGTTCTGGGTGCATCACCTGAGAACTGCAGCTGCCAAGTCACTGCAGCTTGGAAGCTCCTGCGTTAAGCGTCTGCCCCCTGGTGGTCAGTGCATGTCATAGCTACCGGCCAGTGGGCTGGTCACTTAGGCTTTTATATATATAGATTTTTATTTCAGAGAGGAAGGGAGAGGGAGAGAGAGAAATAGAAACAGCAATGATGAGAGAGAATCATTGATTAGCTGCCTCCTGCATGGCCCCACTGGGGATCGAGCCTGCAATCTGGGGATGTGCCCTGACCGGTAATAGAACCATGACCTCCTGGTTCATAGGTTGACGCTCAACCACTGAGCCACGCTGGTTGGGCTGTTTTGTTTTTGTGTGTTTTTAAATCAAGTGTGGGCATGTGACAGAGATTGGTTGAGAAACTAGGTTGCTGATCCAAGGGGTCAAAGGAAAGACAGCCCAGGGACTTTTCCTCCAACTTTTTAAAGGGGTCACTAAGCTGACATAAGTGAGGAGCCACTGGAGGCTGTCTTGGTTCCCACAGAGGGAGAACCTGCCTGAGAGCAATGTAAACCCAGAAGAGAGCAGAACTGAGAGACAGGGATACACGCCTGACGACATCACACGAACACCTGGATCCAGCCATTCCTGAAGCTAGAGCTGACCTGTTCAGTTGTGTGAATTGTTTTGTAAATTAGGTTTTCCTTGCGTTGGGTTTCAATCTCTTATAATCAAAAAAGCCTAGATTAATAATTCCCCCTCCCCAACACCTTTATGATAATAATAATAATTATTTTAAAGTCTTGATGATTAGGTAGCGCCTATGAAAATGTCCCCTGGCCCGGAAGAAGTGGCTATCACAGGAAGGACGCCTCGGAGTGGAGAATGGAGCCTGAGGCCTGGGAAGACTGCCTCTAACCGAGATGCAGGGAAGGGTGTAAAATGCTTCTGGAAGATTTTGCCTTTTCCGGAGCAGGCGCCCTGTGCTCCAGTCCGACTTCTACCTTGGAGGGGCCCTGCTTCCCTCGCCTGCAAAACGAGGAGACAAGCTCATGGTGAAGCTTCGTTCAGAGAATGTGTGAAAGTCAGGGCTGCTTCTGCTCGATCCATGCCGGTTCATTTCTCTTCCCCCACGGCTCCCGGAAGAGCGTCACCCAGCCAGGCTGTTCCGCAGCCGGAGGAACAGCCGGGGCAGCCCCTTCACCCTCGGCCTCTCCCAGGAACCTGACCCTGAAGCCTGGCCTGGAGGAGGAAACCAAATTGGTGGTGTTGGCCTGGCCTCCGCCAGAAACTCGCAGGCCCTAATCTCCCCCGTGACTAAATTTGGGCCTCAAACTCCATCAGCCTGGGAATTCCTGACGAATTCCAGCAAGGGCCAGAGAGTCTCCTGGCTTTTTGCAGAGCAGGGAGAATGTTTTTCAAGTAACAGTTTAAATTAAAAGTAATCACTGGTCATTATAGAAAATTTGGAAAACTCGGGAACAAATCACCAGCAACACCTTCGTCCAGCCCTGGGACCTGGAGAGGTTTTGCTGCTTTTCTGCTGGTCATTCCAATGTATGGTCAGGTTAGTGGACTGTTGGTTGTTTTCTCTTTTTCTTTTTAAAAAATATATTTTTATTGATTTCAGAGAGGAAGAGAGAGGGTGGGAGAGAGAGAAACATCAATGATGAGAATCACTGGTTGACTGCCTCCTGCACGCCACACACTGGGGATCAAGCCTGCAACCATGACCTCCTGGTTCATAGGTCAATGCTCAACCATTGAGCCACACTGGCTGGGCTCTTTTCATTTCTTTTTACATCCATGAGATGGGAGTGTTTGTAGTTTCATGCCTTGGTTTTCCCAGCATATTTTAACATGAGGATGTTCCTGTTATGAACGCTTTGCTGAGTGCAGACATGTGCCTAGCAAACGACCAGCAGGATCTCAGGGATGCTCACACCCATCCCTAAGTCAGAGTCTTACTCTTCTTGCATTGCAGATGAGGAAACTGAGGCACAAAGAGCTTAAGTGTCTGGCCCGTGGGGTGCTGAGGCCCAGCTATGAACCCGGTCTGTACCTGTGCAATGGTTTACTCACCCCCCCTTAGGGAGCTGCCGCTGTTGCCTGCCCAGCACTCCTTCTTTGCTCCCCACTGCTCAGTGCCCTGGGGGCAGCTATTGGATGGAGGTGGGTGGTATCCTGTCTGACCAATCAGAGCCCCCTCTCTCCCTGGCCTCCGTGATTGGTTCAGGATACTGCCCGTGATCCAGGTTTCCAGGTTGGTGTGAGTGGGGATTGCTGACAGGCTGGCTGTGTGTGAGAACCCGCCTGGGAACCCCACTCAACAGGGGGGCAGCGGAGAAGGGGGGGAGACCAGGTCCTGCTGCAGCATTTCCAATTCTGGGTCCAGCTGCCCTAAAGGATTCTTGGGTTCTGCTACTGGACTTCCCATCACCTGAGCTTTTTAATCCCCTGAAGCCATTGCGAGTTGGGTTTCTGTCACTTGTGACCGAGAGTTCTGGTCGTTGGACATTAGGGTTGGAATAGTTTCTTTTTTATCATTATAAACTAGAGGCCCAGTGCACGAATTCTTTCTCAGGAGCACGATTTCCCAACCCTGTGTCCAAACACAGGCCACACTGACCAGAAGGCCCAGTCCTGGGGATGGACTAGGATAGGGAGCTTGTTTTGACTTGGAAATGGTCCAATTTCTCCAGTAATTCCGAAAAACAGGCATAAGCCCTCAGCCCAGCCTGTGCCCTCTTGCAGTCCAGGAGCCCTTGGGGGATGTAGCACTGCTGCGGAGGCTTGTGGTTGATTGGTGCTCCCCTTGTGGGAACGCACAGACACCAGAGGGCAGCTCCTGCATTGAGCGTCTGCCTCCTGGTGGTCAGTGCGCATCATAGCGACCAGTCCTTTTGCCATTCGGTCAATTTGCACATTAGCCTTTTATTATATAGGATTTTATTATATAGGATTATATAGGATAATGCTGCCATAAACACCTTTATATTTAGAGCTTAATCTCTGATTGGAATGATTTCCTTGCAATATTCTGCAGGAGGTACTTGGTCAAAGGACCAACCATTGTCAGGGGCCTAGAGACATTTTGCGAGTCGTTTCCTCAAGGCGGGCAATGATTCGTGTCCGAACCTCCCCTCCCCAGAGGTGCACACCCCTGGGATTTACAAACTGAGTCTGGAGAGCTTTCTTTTTTAACAAGCCAGAGTTGTATTTGTTTTTTGTTTTGTGTAGTTTTTTCTTAAACAGAAAACTTATGTTAATATAAAACAGATAAAAACAGACAAAAAAATCAAAACACACCACACACAAAAGCACAACACACAGGACAGTGCAAACCCTTCCCACCCACTCGCCCCAAGTTTTACAACCTTTCTTACAGTTCCCCAAAGATGAGACTGCATTGGAGAGGTCACAGTATTGAATCAGGAAAATGAGAGCAAGAGACAGTTTGTAAAGGTCTGTACACAGGTAGTGGGGGCGTGGCGGGGCGGGCACCTCACTCCACCCCGAAACACAACGTGGAACCGCAGTGACCGTAAGGTGTCCGGGACACGGTGATGTCTGCCAGCCCCTGCCCACTGGGGAGAGTTGCTTTAGAAAAGGATAAAAAGTGCACAGACACTCTCATAAGGCACAGACAGATTGTCGTACAAGTCATTTCATCAGGGACCTGGGAGAGACGGTGAGACAAAGACCAAGCAATGCCAGGCAGCCCTGTATCCCGGGCCGCTGTCCCCCCAGACATGGGGCAGAGACGGGGTCTAGAGGGAGGTCACTGCCCCTCTCAACAGGAACTGACCGGGGTTCTCCAGGGCCTTGGGGACCGATTTCCAGGAACCAGTCCCCAGTAGCAGATAGCCCCCGCCCCCCACGTCTCCCTGGGAGGTCCTGAGGGTGGTCATCCGCTGGTGGGGACTTTGGGGTTCAGCCCAAGGCCTTTGGCAGCGACATATGGGCTGCATGGCGCCTGGCACTTCCCATGCAGAGGAGCTTTGCGAAGCCCGAAGGAGGCTCTGGTCCAGAAGCAGCGGCCGGGCACTCACTGAGGTAGACCCCGAGGCCACAGTGGCCAGCGAGGCCCATGAAACCTGCCCCCATCGTCTCATCACTCTCTTACTGCCTCCGCCTCTGACCTCAGACCCAGGGCCGTCCTCCCAGCTCCCCACACCTGGCAGGCACTCAGCAGGTGTGTGAGGAGGGACTTTGGGGGCGTGGGCATGTTTTGTCAACCCCCGAAACTCAGAACCTGGTTCTCATTACTCTGCAAACCTCTTGTACCTACCACGTGCGAGCACAGACCCCGACACAGAGGGATCGAATCAAAGCTCGGAAATGTTCCCAACCCTGTGTCCAAACACAGGCCCCGCCGACCAGAAGGCCCAGTCCTGGGGCTGGACTAGGAGAGGGAGCTTGTTTTGACTTGGAAATGGGCCAATTTCTCTAGCGATTCCAAAGGACAGGCACAAGCCCACAGCACAGGGGCATCCTCGGGTCTCCAACCCACTCCTGGGGGCCCAGGAAGGGGGTAGAAGGCCTTCCCCTCCCCAAAGCTGCCCCCATGGGTGCCCGAGGGAAGAGGCGGAGGCCCTGGGGTGGACCCGAGCTCTCACCAGCTCAGCTTAGCAGAGAGGCGGCGGCAGTGGACAGAGGAGCCTAAAAGGGCTGTGGGGGCACAGGGGCCAGACCCCTGGGGGGCGGTCACATGAGTTTAAAGGAAGGAAACTCAGGCAGTCTCGACCTTCCTGGAACTCGGGCCAAGCAGCAGAGAGCAGGGGACTCAGCACCACACACTCCCGGGTGTGGGTCCCAGCCCTGCACCTCCCGCTCGGGCTCCACCTCGCTCACTCCCGGGGCCTCGGTTCTCTCACCGGCCGAGTGGGGACAATCCCCTATTTCATCAATTCCAGTAACAGGGCCCCCACCCCCCATTTCAGCATCTGATTGGGATGAGCTGTACAGCTGTGCACCTGACAGCTCACACTGGCAGCGGTTTTCCCCTAGTAACGCAGCGTGTGTTACAGCCGGTGCCGTCTCAGGCACGACTCGGCCTGGTGATAGGACCTGCCTCTCGGATGAACGTGGGGGCCCCTCCCTGGCCCAGTGCCGAGGACAAGAGACAAAAAAGGGCCCCTGTCCTCCCTCCTGCCCCTCTGGATACAAAACCCGAGGGCCAGGCCAGCGGCTCCTGGGGGCACTGAAGAAACCAGCGTAGAGCATCAGGAAATGTCTGGATTTTAGAAGATAAACACCCTCTTCGTTCCTCTTGGATGCAGGAGGCTATTTATAGCAACTGTGAGCGCATCAGACAAGCCCCGGCTCCTTTCGTCCCAGGAGCAAGGCCTGGTCCACCCTGGGCCAGGCCCTTGGTCACTGCTTTCCTGGTGGCGTCTGTACATGACCCGCCTGGAACCCAGGGGGCAGAGAGGAGCTGGCTCCGCAGGCCAGTCAGGAGGATTGCTGCCTGGAGAGCCACAGGCCGGAGGGGAGAAGGGGGGAGTCCTCTCACAGAGCGCCTGTGCCCTCACCCAGCACCTGGAGGACGGAAGGCTCCCATGGACCAACTTCAGCGGGGCACTGGGCGCTGCCTGGATTCCCAAGCTCTTAACATGGCAAACACTGGGGTTCCAGTAGCCACCCCTCCTCCCAGAGATTCTGCTGCAAAATTAAAATGTGGGCATGTTTCCCAAATTCGCTAGGAAAAAGGACCAATCAGGGGGTCTTGCAGGGGCCAGAGTAGCGCTTCTGCAGTTGAGGTCAGAAAACTGGGCCACTTCCAGACACAGGAGAGGGGCTGAGACCTGCAGCTGCCCCAGGGCACCACCGGGCGGTTTCCTATGCCGAGGGCGTGGCCCCGCTGGGCTCCGCGCCCGACCCCGGCCCCAGCCAACACCTGTTATATGAATACCTGAGTCCGAGTGTTCTCCCCCGCCGCCCTCACAGATGAACAGGTTAGGAGTGGTAATAAAAGTGACACCTGCTCTTGGCAAGGCGTCTCAGGCCTTTTAGAACGCTGTGTGGGTCCTCCCAGAGCTCCGCAGGGGCAGCTACGAGGCTCCCTCTTGGTTGCACTGGGGACTGAGAAACAGAGAGGCCCAGGGGGGTGCCTAAAGGCACGGCACCAGACAGGGCAGCTGGGGGGGCAGCCCTGGGGGCAAGAAGGGAGGAGGGCAGGGCCGGGGTCCCAGGAAATGCCCAGCAAATAGCCTGGGGAAGGGGGACAGTCCCAACTCAGCATCTTCAGTCACTACCCCAATTTCCCTAACATTCTAAGGGTCAGTGAACATCCTAGTGATCAGCAGGGGGGCGGGGGGGGACGAGGATCAGAACTACGAGGTTGCAAAGCCCTGGTTCCCTCCTACTTTGCCAGCAGGTTGTCCCAGTGATGCCACAGGCATGGGTGGAAGCGTGACCAGCTGCCTGTGCCCCACAGTGGCCTTTCCAGCTCCAGGCGAGTCCCTGCCTCTAGGCTTCTCTCCCTCCCCAGGAAAAGATAACCCGCTGTCTGGTACACAGTGGGGCCGCACAGACCCAAAGCAGCCAGGGGCAGGGACAGGGGTAGGGGCAGTGTGCTTATGATCAGGCTGCCTGGGGCGAAGGGGGGAAAAGGCTTCTGGGGGCGGCCTGCCCAGAGCCCTCAAATGGCTGCAGCGCCCAGCACAGCGCCTCTCCAGGGCGGGTTAGCAACCAGAGAGGCAAACTGTTCTTCTATGTTCTCCGCCCACCTGACCCCCAAGGAGTTGCTGCTCGGGCTGTAAACAACGAGCTATTTTTTCCTGCTCTGCTCCTAGGGAGTCTGCGGCCCCTTTTCCATACCATCCGAGGGAGTCTGTTCAGGTGCAGGCTTCACACATTCAAAGCCAGCGGACGTCACAGCCCCAGAAAGCCAGCCGCTTCTAGCCTTGCTAGTGTCTGGGCTCCAGGTCGCACATTCCTTAGTCTCCTGGAGCCAAGATCCCTGTATAAATACCGATGCGTTCTCTCTCATTCTCTCACACATGCCCTCTCCCTGCTCAGTCTCCCCCGCACCCCCACACGCACGCACTCACGCACACACCTCAACCCACCCCCAGCAAAAAGCATTGCACAGAGGACGCCGTTTCCCAGCCGAGAGGTCACCGGAGGGACGGGCGGTCTGCCAGGCAGTTCCTGAGCTTGCATTGGGGTCGGCCTTTGGGGGCGAAGCACTCTTGAGCCAGAAGCAACCTCGCCTGGGCTCAGACCCCCAGGGCCTCGTCTCCATGACTGTCACGCCTCGCCCACCACGGAGAGTGACAGACGAGATGGCCACTGCCCTCAGGCTCCCTGGTGGCCATGGTGGTTGCCCGGCCCAGAGGGGCTTCAGAAAGGTGACCTTGCTCTGGCCAAGGCCCAGCGGCGGGCCAGGCTACGGCCTGTAGATCTTAATGACGTCTTTGATGGGCCGCCGGCAGATGGGGCAGCAGGCCCGAGCCTGCCTCTTGAGCCGCAGGCCGCAGCTGGTGCACAGGCACATGTGTCCACACGTGTAGATGACCGTGTCCACTTCGCCATCGAAGCACACCGTGCACTCGCCATTCTTGCTGCCTGCCGGTTCCGGTGGGGGAAACACGGGGGAGACCGGGGGGCTCAGCGGGGAGCTGGGGGCTGTCACTGCAGAGAGGAAGACCAGGCCAGACCTAAGTAATGTGGTTCTCAGGTGGGTTCCGTTGGGGCAACCCCAAGAAGGCAAAGTTTCTCTGGGGGAACAACTTTGGGAGACACCAACTTCGGCTTTTTGTCTGGGTTTTGCCCCCTTTCCTGCTCCCAAGCATCAGGCACCACTATCACCCTTTGGGTGCCATATCTAGATGTTTCTCTTCCCGCCAGCTGAATGCACAGCTGAGGAAGAAGAGGATGCGGGGGTTGGGGGGAAGGTGACCACCCTGCTTAGCCCTGGGAAGGAGCCAGGCCAGCCCCTGCCCCCGCCCCCACCCCAGGTCTGCATCTCCTTACCCAGGGATGACTCGGATGCCGAGGAGGACTGGTTGACACTGAAGGCCATATCGGAATCGCTATCGTCCTGGGAGCCGCTGAGGGACCCCGACGGAGACGGGATCACAGGGCTGGACTGCAGGGTGCCTGAGACCAAAGAGACTCCATCAGGTGGGCGCTGCCCTGCTAGTCCCTGGCTCTCTGCTGCTTTGCACCTTAGCCTCCCACTCTGTCTAATGGGAGGGCAAGAGCCGCCTCACAGGGTTCCGATGGAGTCGTACGTGCGTGGTGGACATCTGCTATGTGCCTGCCCCGCCATCGTTCCCGTTTACTTCTGGGAAGCAGTACTGGGGTTTTATTTCACACGATCCAGGCCAGTAAGAACGTCTCCCTCTTGGTCTCAATGGCAGTTTAGGGAAGGCCGCATAACCCAACGAAGGCCAGTGAGGCCTGCCCTAGAACTTTCACTCCAACTACGGGGAAGGAAGGCTCACTGGCAGGCTAGCCTGGCACCGCAGGCCCGGCCCGCGTGAAGCCAGCACAGAGAAAGTGCACTCCGAGATGGAAAGAGGGGTGAAGTCCTACTGACGTCCTTTCCACATCTGGACCAAGCAACAGTCGCCGTTGTTATGATCGCTACTTGCTAAGCATGCGGGAGGCGACAGGCACCTGCTGAAAGGATGCGCATCTCATCCTTTCACCCTCACAACCCCAGATGCAGGGGACCCTGCCCTTCTGCACAGAAGGAAGCTGAGGCTCTGACTGCCCCGCCTCTTCATGGCTGAGCAGCCAAAGACTGCGGCAGCCGTTAATTCTCTCTGCGCTTCAGTTTTCTTCTCTGTAGATGGGATCATGAAACGGGTTTCCTACCATCGGCAGGAGGATAGAAGGGAACGAGGTGACAGAGGACATGGTCATCGTGTCTGTTAGCGTTGGGACTCGACTTCCCGAACCATGAGAAGGGAGCTGTGCTCTGTGAACCTTCCCCACACCCCCTCTGCCCCGCAAACACCACGCCCTGCAGCTCTGCACTCCCACGTCTGCGCCCGGTCCTCTGCCCCGCCCCATCCTGGAGCCCAGGGCCTGGCCCATTTGGTGGGTGCTCCGTGTCTGGGGCAATGAAGGAAGGCAAGAATCATCTCAAAATAGGGTGGTTCAAGCCCGCATTCCATTTTCTGTGGACGGTGTTGTTCTCACTTCCTTTTTTCAGTGTAACTGTACATACTGTTTCTCCTACACTTATTATGCATCGGCTATGTAAATCATGTAACCATAGCAATGGAAATAACGGGTGCACTGAGCATTGGCCGACTGCATAAAGCCTGCCACACCCTGACCCCGCGGGTACTTAGGTCGGTGCAGACAGAATGTGGTCCAGGGACCGGCAACCTGGGCATCCCTGGGGCACTTGTTGGAAAGACATCCTCCCGGGGCCCAGCGCTACTGCATGGAAACTCTAGGTCAGTGGTTCTCAACCTTCTGGCCCTTTAAATGCAGTTCCTCATGTTGTGACCCAACCATAAAATTATTTCCGTTGCTACTTCATAACTGTAATGTTGCTACTGTTATGAATCGTCATGTAAATATCTGATATGCAGGATGGTTTAGGCGACCCCTGTGAAAGGGTCGTTCGACCGCCAAAGGGGTCGCGACCCACAGGTTGAGAACCGCTGCTCTAGGTGGAGGTGCGCGGTGCGATGCGCGCTCAAGTTTGGGAACCGCGGGCTGGGCTTCAGCGGTGGCTCCAGCTCCAGCTCCAGCTCCCGCCCCCGCTGGGCCCTCTGGGTCCCGGC